ACAACCCGCTCCTCTCACACCCTCCGGGCTGATTCATACTAAGGCCAGCTCCAGCGGCTACCTGCATACCCCGGGCGGGGACCGGAGAACACGCGCTGTATCGCTGAGTGAGGAGACTCAGACTGGGTGAGCCAGGCTGCAGAGACCCGCTGCGGACTCGCCCTTCTACCATTCTCCGCGTGGGGGCAGCGGTGACACCGAGCGCGGCTGTGGGGACCGAACTGAGAACACGCCCCAGGGTGGACGCGCATCTGACTCCAGCTCTTCAGTCCTCCCTTCCCTGGAAACGTCTCCCACTGATGCACAAAGCCGCAATCCAGAGCAGAGCCCTGCCTGCCTCTGTCCAGCCGCTCCTCTCCTCGCAATTCTCGGTTGAACTCCGGGGAGAGAAGCAAACCGCGATTGTCCCGTGTGGTGAAAGCTGCCAGGGAATATTTCCCACCAGGCAGAGCACAGGTCAGTGGAGCCGCCGCTTCTGGGAAAGGGGGATGGGCCGGGGCTTCAGTCGCAGCTACTGCCCAGTGCCCAGGGCTTTATTCTGTCTCCAGGGGTGTCCCAGCCCAATGGAACCCCTGTGACCCGACCCCTCCCCCGGCACGGACCCCACTGACCCGCCGTACCACAGCCCCATACGCCGGGCGGGGGCACCGGGGCTGAGTCTCCCAGTCCCACCCCCACTACGAACTGACAGCAATCGGGCCCTGCAGTTGCGTCAGGGAAATTCTTATTTGGGGCTCTTCTTCTTTCTTTCCTCTGCCAGGGACAAATTCTGAGCGCACAAAAGAACCTGCCAGATAGTCGCAGATTCATAAACCGCAAGGGAGCGGTATGATAAACTAGTCTGAGCTCCTGCATAATACAGGCCATCGATCCTCAGCCTAATTCATTCTGGTTCTACCACCCTCATTAATAAACCAGGCTGTGAGTCCACTTAGTGTCACCACGGTCAGCGACACATTCCAGAGGAAAGGCACTGACCTCTCACTGGAACCCACCACCTGGGTTGGTTGGTTTGTTTTCCAGTTGAATATTTTTTTTCTGCCAAATGTGGCTCTGGCACAAGGACCATTTTCCTAATAGAAAAAAATTCCTGGTTTAAAAGAATAAATACCCCCGCCCCTCCCCCCAAAAGATTCATTTTCTGGCTTTAATATGACCAATAACACAAAAAGGTTAAACAGAGAAGGGGGGCGGGCTGCAGAGTCCGCTTCTCCCATGTACCAGGAGGGGGCAGTGATGAGGAATACGGCACCGCACAGCCTTGGGGACAAGACTGGAAAGGGGCAGTGGGTTCCCTACCTACCCGGCTCCTTTACACACAGAAACTGCGTTTGCACGTTGACCCTGTCAATCCCCCCTGAAATCTGTGCGGAAAATAACGGGTAACAGTTTTCAAAGAAAAGCAGCCACAAAACTACATCCCGAGGTTCCCCTCAGATCCAGCCCTTGTGTAATCCAATCCATTCGAGATGAAGCCCAAATTAAGGTCGGCCTTTTCCATTGGACCCATATTATTATTTTTAGTACGTCTTCCTTTGGGAGCTTGGGCAAGTCACTGAGACCAGATTTCAAACGTTATTTAGGTTCCCAAAGAAGGACATTGGCACCTAATGACATTATGAAGGCTCCCAAACGCCTAAATTCCATTGAATTCAAGGGGCGTTAGAGTCCCGGTCACTTTTGTAGATCCCACAAGGTGCCTTCCTGCATTTTAGGGCACCTAAATACCTTTCAAAATCTCCCGCTCTGTGCCTGCGTCCCCGCTTTGTAAAGAAAATTGCAATTCTTGACATCACTGTCGTGTGGTGAGGTTAAATACATTTAAGCCTGGCGAGGCGCTGAGATGCTATGGTTAGGGGTGCTCCCAGAAGTCCCTAAAACAGACGGCTGGAATATATGACGAGAGGTATTTCTAGCATTACAGTGAGCAGAGTGTCAGATCCGATGCTTAACACAGTCAAAGGAAAGATTCCCATCGAGTTCTCTGAGCTTTGGGTCAGGCCCAGAGCAAAACCAAAAGACTTGCCCATTTCTCTGAACCCCACGAAAAGAAAATGAGACGGCTCGGGAAGGAGTTTGTCTCTTATAAGGGGTGGGTTATACAAATAGGCGACTGTGACGAAGTGGGCCTGTTCTTAATGTTTCCTCTGAATAGTGTGGGGGTGCCTCAGTTTCCCCTATGCAGTTCTTAAGTATCTAGGTGGTGGGGTAAGGGTGTATGATCATTGCAGAGCCTAGAGGGCAGGTGTGTGCAGGGATCTGGACACAGAGAATGGCCGACACCCTGTTTCCTGGCAACTGATGGCCTGGGCCCTTCCCCCCCTGCAAGGTGAGAGCTGAAGGGTTGGAGAACAAAGGAATCAGGTGACCACCTGGCCCGGGAAAGGAACAAAGCCCAGAGGAGGAGGGGCTGGAGGGGTTTTCAGTTTGGGGCTGGCTGGGACATGGAGTGAAGTGCAGACGTGGTTGTCTGGCTCACTGCCCCCAGAATGGACCCAGCAGAGGGGTCCCGTTCTCTGCACCTGCAAGCTCTGTTTTAGACCATGTTCCTGTCGTCTAATAAACCTTCTGTTTTACTGGCTGGCTGAGAGTCACGTCTGACTGCAAAGTTGGGGTGCAGGACCCTCTGGCTTCCCCAGGAGCCCCGCCTGAGCGGACTCGCTGGGGGAAAGCGCACGGAGAGGCAGAGGATGCTGAATGCTCTGAGGTCAGACCCAGGAAGGTGGAAGCTGTGTGAGCTGTGTGTCCTGAAGACAGGCTGCTCACAGAAAGGCGACTACCCCAGAGTCCTGACTGACTTCATGGGGAGCAGTTCCAGAGCATCGCCCAGGGACTCCGTGACAACTGGTGGCAGTGGTGGGATGTACTGCACCCCGTGGATGGTGCTTCCTGCAGTAAGTGACTGGGGAGCAGTAACACGAAGGGGGATTGCCGAGGACCAGGCCTGCTGAAGGCTCAGAGAGGAGCGGTTTCGGGGGCGGTTAACCCCTGGGAGTGTGTGACCAGCGAGAAGGATTGTGCAGTAACAGGGTTCCCCTGGGGACTGCAGCGAGCAGTCCAAGGGGCGGAGGAGTCTGCAGCTCGACCCTGGCAAAGAGGTGGTGACCTCGAGAAGGGCTGGCACACTAGGGGTTCTCCCTGGAAACCGTGGGGAGCTGAGAGCACACGGGCCTGTGAGTCCACAACAACTTGGGAGGAGCGGAGTGATGGCCTGTCACCGTCTCCTTAAGAAGGACATTGTAACCCTGTGCAGAAAGAGAGGGTTGAGCGTTGGAAAGTTCACCAAAGCAGAGTTAATCGTGCAGCTGGAGGAGGATGATCGCTCTAAGGAACAGATTCCTGACCCCAACTGGGGCTATAGCAGGATCTGGGAGCAGCTGGAGCGGGGAGCCAGGCATCGCCAAGACTCCTGTCCCCGACCAGACGGGGGTCTTCACGATCGGGTTCCCCATCGGGGGATCGAGACGGACGGGATTGGAGCGGAGTCTGAGAGAGCAAGAGGACCGTGGGAGACAGCGAGAGCCCGAGAAAGAGCTGCAGAAGCAGCAGCAGGATGAACTGGCGGTGGTGGGGGCGGAGAGGCCGAGGGGACCTCCCGGGGTGAGTGGGGATAGATCCCGGGGGGGGCCAGTTCCGCAGGGAACCTCGAGACTAAATTGCTGCCCCTAGTTAAGGGGGGGGTGTGGATGCCCACCTCACTGCCTTTGAGCAGGCTGGAGATCTGAACCAGGGGGACCCTGCGGAAAACCCCGGTGTCTAGCTCCCTTGCTGGGTCCCAAGGCCACAGACTCCATCAGCCAGATGGGTGGGGAGGTGGACAGGCTCCCACTCCTGACCCCAACCTATATGTCTGTGTGGAGTTCCCTGGGGTCAGGCCCCTCGGACCCCCAGTGGGAGCGGAAGGGGATGGTCAATGGGGAGACATTCCTGGGGTGGCGAGATCCTGGGACAGAGAGAACTGGTGTCAGACCCTGGGTGGTGCAGCCTCAGAGGCTGAGGGCCTGTGTGAGCTGGGTGAGGGTCCCAGGGACGAAGCCCCTCGCCCTGCCTATGGCCCAGATCCCTGTGCAGACCCAGGAGGGGTGGGGCTGGCTGGCCGTTGGGGTGCCCCAGGACACCAGCTGCGAGACCCTGTTGTGGGGTGACTGTGTCTCTTTGGGACAGGATCCAGGCCCTGCTCCTGTAACTGCCGAGGGTTTGAATTTGAATCCAGGGAACCAATCGGTGGAGAGGGAATGGTCAGTGAAAATGCAGATGACCTGGCTGGCAGCAGGGAGGAGCCGCTAGGCTCAGGCTACCTGCCTGCCTGTAACCAGACCCCTGGGACTCGGTGGGACAGAGAGATGCTCCCTGCCCCCTTGCACACCAGACTGGGGACTCTCGCTGGCTCTGATGCAGTGAGGAAAGCAGTGGCCTGCCCCCACTGGGACAGCAAGGGCAGTGCTGAGCACAGTGGGAGCTGAGACCCCAGCTGAGTGGGGGGGGAGACACAGGCAGGGCAGGGGATCTGTGGGGAGTGGCAAGGTGCTTGGTAAGGGAAGTTTGGATGAGCCTAGGCAGCCTTGTGAGCTGATGGCTGTGTCCAGTCAGCAGGGTGGGAAGGCGAGGAGAGTGGAAGATGAGAGTCCCTGGACCTTACCTGTTAGCTGGGTGGAGAATTGGGACAGTGAAGGAAATGGGTCTCTCTGTCAGGGGTATTGACTTGCCTATGGAGGGAGCTACCCTGATCTCCAAGCAGTTGTCTGTGCCCAGCCTTGTGTGCTGGGACAAAGGGAATGGGATCCCAACCTGTGTGTCTGGTAAAGGAGAAAGTGTGTCCGGCTCTTCTTGGTCTGTGGAGCAGACAGAAGGGGCCTTTCAGCCTGTGATGGTTGAGGGTCATGCAGCTGTCTCAGAGCTGGTTCTGGATTCAGCTAAAGCCCAGGAAGGGAAGGGTCCTAAGTTTCTGTCTGCTCGGGAGAATGGCCCTGTAACTAGGTCGCATCCAGTTAGGGTCTATGTAAAATCCCGAGACCAGACAATTCTGGTGCTTGTATTTTGCCTGTTGCTAGTGTGTTGTTGGAAAGGGTGTAGCAACTCTGTCTAATCAGGGTGAGATCCTAGCCAGGGCACAAGGAGAGCAGGAAGGTGATGTGATTGTGGAACCTACTGAGGGTGTGGAAACCTGTAGCAAGAAGGAAAAGATTCCTGAACTTGTGTGTGGCAAAGGGAAGGAGAATGCTTCTAACCTTTTATCTAGGAAGTCTGTAAGTTTGCATGAAAGGGGATTGTGTAGGAATCCGCCTGATGGGCCAGAGGTGATTCTGGATGTAAGGGAGACCCAGAAAGAGTCTGTAGTTGCTCAGGAAAGTGTTCCCCTAGAGCAAGCCCTAGGTAAAGAGGGTAAGAGCAGAATTTCTGGGAGGGGGTGAATTGTTGCATAGAAAAGCCCTCGGGAAAGGAATCCTCATGGAGTCTTTGCAAGCAGTTTACTGCCACTGAAGGGTGTGAAAGTGATTTAATCAAGAAAGTTTCAGTTCCTAACAGCCAGAAATTTTCTGTTGTGAATGGATCCACTGACTTTCCTGTTGAAAGATCCAGTGTGGAGAGCTTTGAGAAGGTCTCAGATGGAGTGAAAGCTATTAAGAAAGGTATACCGTCCTATAACCAAGTGGCTGTGTTTGGCCAGCTTGTTGGGGAGACAAGGTTGTTGGGAAAGGGATGTCTCCATGCTAGTTCTGTAAGTGAACAGTATGTGGCCCAGGTCAAGATGGGGGCCCTTAACCAAGAGAGCCCGAATTGCAGCCCTCCAGACTGGAGCTCTGGGAGAAAACCCAATCCCAGTTTGACCCCCTGGGGTTTTGGGGTGGCCAAAGGGCATGGGCTGCAGAAACCTTCCCACATGCAGCCTGCTAGTGCTATCGACCACCCCCGACCTAAGGGAGGGCGTGAAACTGGAAGGGCCTGGTGTAACTCCTACCAAGGAACGGGAGAGATGCTGGGGCATCCATGGGAACATTGGTGGCTTCAAACTTCCCCAGGTCACCGGGTAAAGTGACCCCGCTCAGTTCGATCTCGAAGGGGGGAGAGATGTGACGAAGTGGGCCTGTTCTTAATGTTTCCTCTGAATAGTGTGGGGGTGCCTCAGTTTCCCCTATGCAGTTCTTAAGTATCTAGGTGGTGGGTGTCACGGAGTCCCCGGGCAATGCTCTGGAACTGCTCCCCATGAAGCCAGTCAGGACTCTGGGGAAGTCTCCCCTCTGGGAGCAGCCTGTCTTCAGGACACAAAGCTCACACCGCTTCCACTTTCCTGGGTCTGACCTCGGAGCTTCAGCATCCTCTACCCCTCCGTGCGCTTCCCATAGCAAGTCCGCTCAGGCGGGGTCCTGTGGGGGCCAGAGGGTCCTGCACCCCGACTTCGCAATCAGACATGACTCTCAGCCAGCCAGTAAAACAGAGGTTTATTAAACGACAGGAACATGGTCTAAAACAGAGCTTGTAGGTGCAGAGAACGGGACCCCTCAGCTGGGTCCATTTTGGGGGGCCGTGAGTCAGACAACCACATCTGCCCTTAACTCCATGTCCCAGCCAGCCTCAAACTGAAAACCCCCTCCAGCCCCTCCTCCCCTGGGCTTTGTCCCTTTCCCGGTCCAGGAGGTCACCTGATTCCTTTGTTCTCCAACCCTTTAGCTCTCACCTTGCAGGGGGAAGGGCCCAGGCCATCAGTTGCCAAGAAACAGGGTGTCAGCCATTCTCTGTGTCCAGACCCCTGCACACACCTGCCCTCTAGGGCTCTGCAATGATCATACACCCTTATCCCACCCCCCTAGATACTTAAGAACTGCCTAGGGGAAACTGAGGCACCCCCACACTATTCAGAGGAAACATTGAGAACAGTCCCACTTCGTCACATTCTCCCCCTTCGAGATCGAACTGAGCGGGGTCACTTTAGCCGGTGACCTGGGGAAGTTCAAAGCCACCAACGTTCCCATGGATGCCCCAGCATCTCTCCCATTCCCTTGGTAGGAGTTACACCAGGCCCTTCCATTTTCACTCCCTCCCTTAGGTCGGTGGTGGTCAATAGTACTCGCAGGCTGCATGTGGGAAGGTTTATGCGGCCCGTGCCCTTTGGCCACCCCAAAACCCCAGGGGGTCAAACTGGGATTGGGTCTTCTCCCAAACAAGCTGGCCAAACACAGCCACTTGGTTATAGGACTGTTTAACTTGCTTCACAGCTTTCACTCCATCTGAGACCGTCTCAGAGCTATCCACACTGGATCTTTCAACAGGAAAGTCAGTGGATCCATTCACAACAGAAAATTTCTGGCTGTTAGGAACTGAAACTTTCTTGATTAAATCACTTTCACACCCTTCAGTTGCAGTAAACTGCTTGCAAAGACTCCATGAGGATTTCTTTCCCTAGGGCTTTTCTATGCAACAATTCACCCCTCACAGAAATTCTGCTCTTACTCTCTTCTGTCACGGAGTCCCTGGGCGATGCTCTGGAACTGCTCCCCATGAAGCCAGTCAGGACTCTGGGGTAGTCGCCTTTCTGTGAGCAGCCTGTCTTCAGGACACGCAGCTCACACAGCTTCCACCTTCCTGGGTCTGACCTCGGAGCATTCAGCATCCTCTGCCCCTCCGTGCGCTTCCCACAGCGAGTCCACTCAGGCGGGGCTCCTGGGGAAGCCAGAGGGTCCTGCACCCCAACTCCGCAGTCAGACGTGACTCTCAGCCAGCCAGTAAAACAGAAGGTTTATTAGACGACAGGAACATGGTCTAAAACAGAGCTTGCAGGTGCAGAGAACGGGACCCCTCAGCTGGGTCCATTCTGGGGGGCAGTGAGCCAGACAACCACGTCTGCACTTCACTCCATGTCCCAGCCAGCCCCAAACTGAAAACCCCTCCAGCCCCTCCTCCTCTGGGCTTTGTTCCTTTCCCGGGCCAGAAGGTCACCTGATTCCTTTGTTCTCCAACCCTTCAGCTCTCACCTTGCAGGGGGAAAGGGCCCAGGCCATCAGTTGCCAGGAAACAGGGTGTCGGCCATTCTCTGTGTCCAGACCCCTTCACACACCTGCCCTCTAGGGCTCTGCAATGATCATACACCCTTACTCCACCCCCTAGATACTTAAGAACTGCCTAGGGGAAACTGAGGCACCCCCACACTATTCAGAGGAAACATTAAGAACAGTCCCGCTTCGTCACATCTCTCCCCCCTTCGAGATCGAACTGAGCGGGGTCACTTTAGCCGGTGACCTGGGGAAGTTCGAAGCCACCAATGTTCCCATGGATGCCCCAGCATCTCTCCCATTCCTTGGTAGGAGTTACACCAGGCCCTTCCAGTTTCACGCCCTCCCTTAGGTCAGGGGTGGTCGATAGCACTCGCAGGCCGCATGTGGGAAGGTTTATGCAGCCCATGCCCTTTGGCCACCCCAAGAATGTCTCCCCATTGACCATCACCTTCTGCTCCCACTGGAGGTCCGGGGGGCCTGGCCCCAGGAAACTCCACACAGACATATAGGTTGGGGTCAGGAGTGGGAGCCTGTTGTGACGAAGTGGGACTGTTCTTAATGTTTCCTCTGAATAGTGTGGGGGTGCCTCAGTTTCCCCTAGGCAGTTCTTAAGTATCTAGGTGGTGGGGTAAGGGTGTATGATCATTGCAGTGCCCTAGAGGGCATGTGTGTGCAGGAGTCTGGACACAGAGAATGGCCGACACCCTGTTTCCTGGCAACTGATGGCCTGGGCCCTTCCCCCCTGCAAGGTGAGAGCTGAAGGGTTGGAGAACAAAGGAATCAGGTGACCTCCTGGCCCGGGAAAGGAACAAAGCCCAGAGGAGGAGGGGCTGGAGGGGGTTTTCAGTTTGGGGCTGGCTGGGACATGGAGTGAAGTGCAGACGTGGTTGTCTGGCTCACTGCCCCCCAGAATGGACCCAGCTGAGGGGTCCCGTTCTCTGCACCTGCAAGCTCTGTTTTAGACCATGTTCCTGTCGTCTAATAAACCTTCTGTTTTAGTGGCTGGCTGAGAGTCACGTCTGACTGCGAAGTTGGGGTGCAGGACCCTCTGGCTTCCCCAGGAGCACCGCCTGAGCGGACTCGCTGTGGGAAGCGCACGGAGAGGCAGAGGATGCTGAATGCTCCGAGGTCAGACCCAGGAAGGTGGAAGCTGTGTGAGCTGTGTGTCCTGAAGACAGGCTGCTCACAGAAAGGCGACTACCCCAGAGTCCTGACTGGCTTCATGGGGAGCAGTTCCAGAGCATCGCCCAGGAACTCCGTGACAATTGGTGGCAGCGGTGGGATCTACTGCACCCCGTGGATGGCGCTTCCTGCAGTAAGTGACTGGGGAGCAGTAACACGAAGGGGGATTGCCGAGGACCAGGCCTGCTGAAGGCTCAGAGAGGAGCGGTTTCGGGGGGCGGTTAACCCCTGGGAGTGTGTGACCAGCGAGAAGTACTGTGCAGTAATGGGGTCCCCCTGGGGACTGCAGTGAGCAGTCTCAGGGGCGGAGGAGTCTGCAGCTCGACCCTGGCAAAGAGGTGGTGACCTTGAGAAGGGCTGGCACACTAGGGGTTCTCCCTGGAAACCGTGGGGAGCTGAGAACACACGGGCCTGTGAGTCCACAACAACTTGGGAGGAGCGGAGTGATGGCCTGTCACCGTCTCCTTAAGAAGGACATTGTAACCCTGTGCAGAAAGAGAGGGTTGAGCATTGGAAAGTTCACCAAAGCAGAGTTAATCGTGCAGCTGGAGGAGGATGACCGCTCTAAGGAACAGATTCCTGACCCCAACTGGGGCTATAGCAGGATCTGGGAGCAGCTGAAGCGGGAGCCAGGCATCGCCAAGACTCCTGTCCCCGACCAGACGAGGGTCTTCATGATCGGGTTCCCCATCGGGGGATCAAGACGGACGGGATTGCAGCTGAGTCTGAGAGAGCAAGAGGACCGTGGGAGACAGCGAGAGCCCGAGAAAGAGCTGCAGAAGCAGCAGCAGCATGAACTGGCGGTGGTGGGGCGGAGAGGCCTAGGGGACCTCCCCGGGGTGAGTGGGGATAGATCCCGGGGGGCCAGTTCCGCAGGGAACCTCGAGACTAAATTGCTGCCCCTGGTTAAGGAGGGGGGGGGTGTGGATGCCCACCTCACTGCCTTTGAGCAGGCTGGCGATTTGAACCAAGGGGACCCTGCGGAAAAGCCCCGGTGTCTAGCTCCCTTGCTGGGTCCCAAGGCCATAGACTCCGTCAGCCAGGTGGTTGGGGATGTGGACAGGCTCCCACTCCTGACCCCAACCTATATGTCTGTGTGGAGTTTCCTGGGGCCAGGCCCCCGGACCTCCAGTGGGAGTAGAAGGTGATGGTCAATGGGGAGACATTCTTGGGGTGGCCAAAGGGCATGGGCTGCATAAACCTTCCCACATGCGGCCTGCGAGTGCTATCGACCACCCCTGATCTAAGGGAGGGCGTGAAACTGGAAGGGCCTGGTGTAACTCCTACCAAGGAATGGGAGAGATGCTGGGGCATCCATGGGAACGTTGGTGGCTTCGAACTTCCCCAGGTCACCGGCTAAAGTGACCCCGCTCAGTTCGATCTCGAAGGGGGGAGAGATGTGACGAAGTGGGACTGTTCTTAATGTTTCCTCTGAATAGTGTGGGGGTGCCTCAGTTTCCCCTAGGCAGTTCTTAAGGATCTAGGTGGTGGGGTAAGGGTGTATGATCATTGCAGTGCCCTAGAGGGCATGTGTGTGCAGGAGTCTGGACACAGAGAATGGCCGACACCCTGTTTCCTGGCAACTGATGGCCTGGGCCCTTCCCCCCCTGCAAGGTGAGAGCTGAAGGGTTGGAGAACAAAGGAATCAGGTGACCTCCTGGCCCGGGAAAGGAACAAAGCCCAGAGGAGGAGGGGCTGGAGGGGTTTTTCAGTTTGGGGCTGGCTGGGACATGGAGTGAAGTGCAGACGTGGTTGTCTGGCTCACTGCCCCCAGAATGGACCCAGCTGAGGGGTCCCGTTCTCTGCACCTGCAAGCTCTGTTTTAGACCATGTTCCTGTCGTCTAATAAACCTTCTGTTTTACTGGCTGGCTGAGAGTCACGTCTGACTGCGAAGTTGGGGTGCAGGACCCTCTGGCTTCCCCAGGAGCACCGCCTGAGCGGACTCGCTGTGGGAAGCGCACGGAGAGGCAGAGGATGCTGAATGCTCCGAGGTCAGACCCAGGAAGGTGGAAGCTGTGTGAGCTGTGTGTCCTGAAGACAGGCTGCTCACAGAAAGGCGACTACCCCAGAGTCCTGACTGACTTCATGGGGAGCAGTTCCAGAGCATCGCCCAGGGACTCCGTGACACCTGTCCACATCCCCACCCATCTGGCTGATGGAGTCTGTGGCCTTGGGACCCAGCAAGGGAGCTAGACACCGGGGCTTTTCCGCAGGGTCCCCCTGGTTCAAATCTCCAGCCTGCTCAAAGGCAGTGAGGTGGGCATCCACCTCCCCCCCTCCTTAACCAGGGGCAGCAATTTAGTCTCGAGGTTCCCTGCGGAACTGGCACCCCGGGGTCTATCCCCACTCACCCCGGGGTGGTCCCCTAGGCCTCTCCGCTCCCCCAACGCCAGTTCATGCTGCTGCTGCTTCTGCAGCTCTTTCTCGGGCTCTCGCTGTCTCCCACGGTCCTCTTGCTCTCTCGGACTCAGCTCCAATCCCGTCCGTCTCGATCCCCCGATGGGGAACCCGATCGTGAAGACCCTCGTCTGGTCGGGGACAGGAGTCTTGGCGATGCCTGGCTCCCACTCCAGCTGCTCCCAGATCCTGCTATAGCCCCAGTTGGGGTCAGGAATCTGTTCCTTAGAGCGGTCATCCTCCTCCAGCTGCACGATTAACTCTGCTTTGGTGAACTTTCCAAAGCTCAACCCTCTCTTTTTGCACAGGGTTACAATGTCCTTCTTAAGGAGACGGTGACAGGCCGTCACTTCCTCCCAAGCTGTTGTGGACTCACAGGTCCGTGTGTTCTCAGCTCCCCACGGTTTCCAGGGAGAACCCCTAGTGTGCCAGCCCTTCTCCAGGTCACCACCTCTTTGCCAGGGTCGAGCGGCAGACTCCTCCGCCCCTGAGACTGCTCACTGCAGTCCCCAGGGGGACCCCATTACTGCACAGTCCCTCTCGCTGGTCACACACTCCCAGGGGTTAACCGCCCCCGAAACCGCTCCTTTCTGAGCCTTCAGCAGGCCTGGTCCTCGGCAATCCCCCTTCGTGTTACTGCTCCCCAGTCACTTACTGCAGGAAGCGCCATCCACGGGGTGCAGTACATCCCACCGCTGCCACCAGTTGTCACGGAGTCCCTGGGCGATGCTCTGGAACTGCTCCCCATGAAGCCAGTCAGGACTCTGGGGTAGTCGCCTTTCTGTGAGCAGCCTGTCTTCAGGACACGCAGCTCACACAGCTTCCACCTTCCTGGGTCTGACCTCGGAGCATTCAGCATCCTCTGCCCCTCCGTGCGCTTCCCCCAGCGAGTCCGCTCAGGCGGGGCTCCTGGGGAAGCCAGAGGGTCCTGCACCCCAACTCCGCAGTCAGACGTGACTCTCAGCCAGCCAGTAAAACAGAAGGTTTATTAGACGACAGGAACATGGTCTAAAACAGAGCTTGCAGGTGCAGAGAACGGGACCCCTCAGCTGGGTCCATTCTGGGGGGCAGTGAGCCAGACAACCACGTCTGCACTTCACTCCATGTCCCAGCCAGCCCCAAACTGAAAACCCCTCCAGCCCCTCCTCCTCTGGGCTTTGTTCCTTTCCCGGGCCAGAAGGTCACCTGATTCCTTTGTTCTCCAACCCTTCAGCTCTCACCTTGCAGGGGGAAAGGGCCCAGGCCATCAGTTGCCAGGAAACAGGGTGTCGGCCATTCTCTGTGTCCAGACCCCTTCACACACCTGCCCTCTAGGGCTCTGCAATGATCATACACCCTTACTCCACCCCCTAGATACTTAAGAACTGCCTAGGGGAAACTGAGGCACCCCCACACTATTCAGAGGAAACATTAAGAACAGTCCCGCTTCGTCACATCTTCACCTAGGGCTTGCTCTAGAGGAACACTTTCCTGAGCAACAAGACTCTTTCTGGGTCTCCCTTACATCCAGAATCACCTCTGGCCCATCCGGTGGATTCCTACACAATCCCCTTTCAGGCAAACTTACAGACTTCCTAGATAAAAGGTCAGAAGCATTCTCCTTCCCTGTGCCACACACAAGTTCAGGAATCTTTTCCTTCTTGCTACAGGTTTCCACACCCTCAGTAGGTAACATAATCACATCACCTTCATGCTCTCCTTGTGCCCTGGCTAGGATCTCACCCTGATTAGACAGAGTTGCGACACCCTTTCCCAACAACACACTAGCAACAGGCAAAATACAAGCACCAGAATTGTCTCGGCTCTGGGGTTTTACATAGACCCTAATTGGATGCGACCTAGTTACAGGGCCATTCTCCCGAGCAGACAGAAACTTAGGACCCTTCCCTTCCTGGGCTTTAGCTGAATCCAGAACCAGCTCTGAGACAACTGCACGACCCTCAACCATCACAGGCTGAAAGGCCCCTTCTGTCTGCTCCACAGACCAAGAAGAGCCGGACACACTTTCTCCTTAACCAGACACACAGCTTGGGATCTCTTTTCCCTTGTCTCAGCACACAGGGCTGGTCACAGACAACTGCTTGGAGATCAGGGTAGCTCCCTCCATAGGCAAGTCAATACCCCTGACAGACACAGGCACGTTTCCTTCACTGTCCCAATTCTCCACCCAGCTAACAGGTAAGGTCCAGGGACACTCATCTTCCACTCTCCTCGCCTTCCCACCCTGCTGACTAGACAAAGCCATCAGCTCACAAGGCTGCCTGGGCTCATCCAAACTTCCCTTACCAAGCACCTTGCCGCTCCCAACAGATCCCCTGCCCTGCCTGTGTCTCCCCCCACTCAGCTGGGGTCTCAGCTCCCATTGTGCTCAGCGCTGCCCTTGCTGTCCCAGTGGCGATAGGCAGCGAGCTCGCTGGTTTCCTCACTTACTCAGAGCCAGCGTGAGCCCCCTCTCCGGTGTGCAAGGGGGCAGGGAGCCCCAGGGGTCTGGTTACCAGCAGGCAGGTAACCTGAGCCTAGCGATTCCTCCCTGCTGCCAGCCAGGTCATCTGCATTTTCATTGACCATTTCCCTCTCCACCGGTTGGTTCCCTGGATTCAAATTCAAACCCTTGGCAGTTACCGGAGCAGGGCCTGGATCCTGTCCCAAAGAGACACAGTCACCCCACAACAGGGTCTTGCAGCTGGTGTCCTGGAGCACCCCAACGACCAGCCAGCCCAACCCCCTCCTGGGTCTGCACAGGGATCTGGGCTATAGGCAGGGCGAGGGGCTTCATCCTGGGACCCTCACCCAGTTCACACAGCCCCTCAGCATCTGAGGCTGCACCACCAGGGGCCTGACAACAGTTCTCTCTGTCCCAGGAATGTCTCCCCATTGGACCGTCACCTTCCGTTCCCACTGGGGGTCCGAGGGGCCTGACCCCAGGAGACTCCACACAAACATATAGGTTGGGGTCAGGAGTGGGAGCCTGTCCACCTCCCCACCCATCTGGCTGACGGAGTCTGTGGCCTTGGGACCCAGCAAGGGAGCTAGACACCGGGGCTTTTCCGCAGGGTCCCCCTGGTTCAAATCTCCAGCCTGCTCAAAGGCAGTGAGGTGGGCATCCACATCCCTCCCCTCCTTAACCAGGGGCAGCAATTTAGTCTCGAGGTTCCCTGCGGAACTGGCCCCCGGGGTCTATCCCCACTCATCCCTGGGAGGCCCCCTATGCCTCTCCGCCCCACCATTGCCAGTTCCTGCTGCTGCTGCTTCTGCAGCTCTTTCTCGGGCTCTCGCTGTCTTTCACAGTCCTCTGGCTCTCTCGGACTCCAGCTCCAATCCCGTTCGTCTCCGATCCCCAGATGGGGAACCCGATCATGAAGACCCTCGTCTGGTCGGGGACAGGAGTCTTGGGGATGCCTGGCTCCCGCTCCAGCTGCTCCCAGATCCTGCTATAGCCCCATTTGGGTCACAAATCTGTTCCTTCGAGCGGTCATCCTCCTCCAGCTGCACGATTAACTGTGCCTTGGTGAACTTTCCAATGCTCAACACTTTCTTTCTGCACAGGGTTACAATGTCCTTCTTAAGGAGACGGTGACAGGCCATCACTCCGCTCTTCCCAAGTTGTTGTGGACTCACAGGCCTGTGTGCTCTCAGCTCCCCACAGTTTCCAGGGAGAACCCCTAGTGTGCCAGCCCTTCTAGAGGTTACCACCTCTTTGCCAGGGTTGAGCTGCAGACTCCTCAGGTCCCAGTGCTCACTGCAATCCCCAGGGGAACCCTGTTACTGCAAAAGTCCTTCTCTCTCCCAGGGCCAAGCTGCAGCCTCCTCCGCCCCTGAGACTGCTCACTGCAGTCCCCAGGGGGACCCCATTACTGCACAGTCCTTCTCGCTGGTCACACACTCCCCAGGGGTTAACTGCCCCCCAAAACCGCTCCTCTCTGAGCCTTCAGCACACCTGGTCCTCATCAATCCCCCTTCGTTTTACTGCTCCCCAGTCACTTACTGCAGGAAGCGCCATCCACGGGGAGCACATCCCACCTCTGCCACCAGTTGTCACGGAGTCCCCGGGCAATGCTCTGGAACTGCTCCCCATGAAGCCAGTCAGGACTCTGGGGAAGTCTCCCCTCTGGGAGCAGCCTGTCTTCAGGACACAAAGCTCACACCGCTTCCACTTTCCTGGGTCTGACCTCGGAGCTTCAGCATCCTCTACCCCTCCGTGCGCTTCCCATAGCAAGTCCGCTCAGGCGGGGTCCTGTGGGGGCCAGAGGGTCCTGCACCCCGACTTCGCAATCAGACATGACTCTCAGCCAGCCAGTAAAACAGAGGTTTATTAAACGACAGGAACATGGTCTAAAACAGAGCTTGTAGGTGCAGAGAACGGGACCCCTCAGCTGGGTCCATTTTGGGGGGCCGTGAGTCAGACAACCACATCTGCCCTTAACTCCATGTCCCAGCCAGCCTCAAACTGAAAACCCCCCTCCAGCCCCTCCTCCCCTGGGCTTTGTCCCTTTCCCGGTCCAGGAGGTCACCTGATTCCTTTGTTCTCCAACCCTTTAGCTCTCACCTTGCAGGGGGAAGGGCCCAGGCCATCAGTTGCCAAGAAACAGGGTGTCGGCCATTCTCTGTGTCCAGACCCCTGCACACACCTGCCCTCTAGGGCTCTGCAATGATCATACACCCTTACCCCACCCCCTAGATACTTAAGAACTGCCTAGGGGAAACTGAGGCACCCCCACACTATTCAGAGGAAACATTGAGAACAGTCCCACTTCGTCACAGTGGGGTAAGGGTGTATGATCATTGCAGAGCCCTAGAGGGCAGGTGTGTGCAGGGATCTGGACACAGAGAATGGCCGACACCCTGTTTCCTGGCAACTGATGGCCTGGGCCCTTCCCCCCTGCAAGGTGAGAGCTGAAGGGTTGGAGAACAAAGGAATCAGGTGACCACCTGGCCCGGGAAAGGAACAAAGCCCAGAGGAGGAGGGGCTGGAGGGGTTTTCAGTTTGGGGCTGGCTGGGACATGGAGTGAAGTGCAGACGTGGTTGTCTGGCTCACTGCCCCCCAGAATGGACCCAGCAGAGGGGTCCCGTTCTCTGCACCTGCAAGCTCTGTTTTAGACCATGTTCCTGTCGTCTAATAAACCTTCTGTTTTACTGGCTGGCTGAGAGTCACGTCTGACTGCAAAGTTGGGGTGCAGGACCCCTCTGGCTTCCCCAGGAGCCCCGCCTGAGCGGACTCGCTGGGGAAAGCGCACGGAGAGGCAGAGGATGCTGAATGCTCTGAGGTCAGACCCAGGAAGGTGGAAGCTGTGTGAGCTGTGTGTCCTGGAAGACAGGCTGCTCACAGAAAGGCGACTACCCCAGAGTCCTGACTGACTTCATGGGGAGCAGTTCCAGAGCATCGCCCAGGGACTCCGTGACAGCGACTGTCTCCTGTTTAAATCTCTCTCTGTCCCAGCAGCACCCGACCAAAACTGCAGCCCCCTGTGTCCCTGCAGTTACCAGCCACTCCACTGAGGACTTTCTCCTCCAACACCAGGGAAAATGAGACTTTGGCTCCATTTATTTTTCCTTGTGGCGGCTCTGGAAGGTATTTTCTCCCCTAAAGGCACTGGGGAAGGGGGCAAACATTCCTGGTTTTCTGCAACGATCTGAAAACGTATTTTGTAACCTGCTTTTATTGATATCCGTGTCCTGTTAACTGAGTTAATAGTGTTTCATGTGGCTGGTTCCCTCATTGTTCACTTTTCTCTCCCCCCTTTCCCACAGGGGCCCGGTCACAGGTTGTTCTGACCCAGTCTGGCCCGGAAATGAAGAAGCCCGGAGAATCCACTCGGCTGAAATGCGCCGTGGCGGGTTCACTATCACCAGCTATTATATGGCTTGGGTTAGACAGGAGCCGGGAAAGGGGCTGGAGTGTCTGGTCAGCTACTGGAAACCAGGGCAGAGCGAGTATTATTCTCCCACCATCAAGGGGCGATTCACAGCCTCCAAGGACAGCTCCAATTTCTACCTACAGATGAACAGCCTGAATCCCGAGGACACCGCCCTGTATTACTGCGCGAGAGACACAGTGAGGGGAAGCCGGTCTGGGCTCAGACAAAAACCTCCCCCTGCAGAGACTGGGGAAGGGAGTTCCTGGGGGTGGCGCTTTCGACCCACAGCTGTGAGAAGAGAGACACAAAGTATCTCCCCTTGGCAGGATCCCACACAGCTGCCAGCGGAGAGAGGCGCTGCTGACTCCATCTGCCCCTGGGGAGCGCAGGGAGCAGATGCTCAGTGGATATTTTAGGGGAGAAGGAGGAGGTGCATCCGCCCTCACTCTGCGATGCTCCCCACGATTCACCCGGGCTTTCTGGTCAGCCGGTCTCCAGTGCAAGGCTCCCCCCTTCTCCCATTGAAGGGAGAAGCTGAGCCCTGAGGGAAGGTCAGTGGCAATGCTGAGCCCTGAATGAAGATGATTGACTGGAAGGGAGGGGTCACTCATCTAGAGGTGACCTTCCCCCTCAGCCCAGGGATCATTCTCTGTGGGTGAAATTCACCCCCGTGTGGAGGGCCTAGCACGAGGGCCTCTGCCTGTACTGTGTCCCGCCTAGCCCGAGGAATATCGTCACCCCATGCAGCCCTTTAGAAGTGTACAATCCCGATTTCCCTGCCTTCCCCCTTCTGTTTGCACTTAGGTCTGGGCCAGTTGGGTGGGATATGGGTCTGTTTTCTTGCACACTCCTCCTGTGCCTCGTACACCTTTGGTTAGGGACAGTTTGGGGTCCCCACACCAGTGCTGACATCAGCCAATGTGCAGAGTGGGGGAGAATCCATGTGAGTCAGGTGAGCAGAGACAGCAAGACTAAGGCGATTGCTGAGTGTTCCCAGGGCACAAAGAACCAACCTTTTCAACCTCAACCCTCAGGACCCATCCTAGAGAGACAGCGAAGTGGCGCCATTGCGCAAACAATTCCCCGAGCCGAGAAGAAGGGGCTCAAATGGACACCAGTGTTATTCCCTACGTCTCTGCAAAAGGGGGAGTTTTGGAAGAAATACAAACACGTGTCCAAAGGCCATTCCTGTCCCATGGGCTCAGAGTGCCTAACTGCCCTGGGTGCTCTCAGACATGCCACCGAAAATACATTATTTCCACAGCATAGAAGCAAATGAATTTTCCTTTGTTCTCTCGCCTTACAAACGGACCGGCTGTGTCCAATGGCCGGTGTGCCCCCTGCTAGGTACCCATATAGCTGCCTCTCTGGAGGTGCTGACCGCCCAACTTCTCACAATCAAACTCCTTCTAAGTTGCCTCAAAATGGGCAAAGAAAAACTCATGGGCACTAAATAACAAGTCCCTTTTAAACAGCTTATCCTGTGTGCACGGTAGGAGAATTGGTGTTGCAATGACAGAGGCCCCAGTATTGTATGCTAAGGATGATATACGAATTTACCAGGGCTTTGCTCAAGTATCAGGAGCTCTGAAACGTGTTAAAGATACTGTCACTCAATCCCTGCTAGACACTATAGTAAGTAACTCTCCTTCGTGAGCTCGGGGCTGGGATCTGGAGTCCATTTGCAGTTGAATAGTTCGGTCCCGTAGGAAAAGGGGAAGATGCAAATGCAGCTACTCACCTCCCTGCTTCAGAACATAAGAATATCAGACCAAAGGTCCATCCAGACCAGTATCCTGTCTGCCAACAGTGGTCAGTGCAAGGTGCCCCAGAGGGAGTGAACCTAACAGGTAATGATCAAGTGATCTCTCTTCTGCCATCCATCTCCACCCTCTGACAAACAGAGGCTAGGGACACCGTTCCTTACCCATCCTGGCTAATAGCTGTTAATAGACTTAACCTCCATGAATTTATCCAGTTCTCTTTTAAACCCTGTTCTAGTCCTAGCCTTCACAACCTTCTCAGGCAAGGAGTTCCACAGGTTGACTGTGCCCTGAGTGAAGAAGAACTTCCTTTTATTTGTTTTAAACCTGCTACCCATTAATTTCATTTGGTGGCCCCCTAGTTCTTATATTATGGGAACAAGTAAATAACTTTTCCTTATTCACTTTCTCCACAACACTCATGATTTTATAGACCTCTATCGTATCCCCCTTTGTCTCCTTTTCCAAGCTGAAAAGTCCCTAGCTTCTTTAATCTCTCCACATATGGGACCGGTTTCAAACCCCTAATCATTTTAGTTGCCCTTCTCTGAACCTTTTCTAATGCCAGTCTATCTTTTCTGAGATGGGGGACCACATCTGTATGCACTATTCAAGATGTGGGCATACCATGGATTTATATAAGGAAAATAAGATATTCTCCATCTTATTCGCTATCCCTTTTTAATGATTCCTAACATCCCGTTTGCTTTTTTGACCGCCACTGCACACTGTATGGATGTGTTCAGAGAACTATCCACGATGACTCAAGAGCTTTTTCCTGATTAGTTGTAGCTAAATTAGCCCCCCATCATATTGTATGTATAGTTGGGGTTATTTTTTCCAATGTGCATTACTTTACATTTATCCACATTAAATTTCATTTGACATTTTGTTGCCCAATCACTTAGTTTTGTGAGATCTTTTTGAAGTTCTTCACAGTCTGCTTTGGTCTTAACTATCTTGAGCAGTTTAGTATCACCTGCAAACTTTGCCACCTCACTGTTTACCCCTTTCTCCAGATCATTTATGAATAGGTTGAATAGGATTGGTCGTAGGATTGACCCTTGGGAACACCACTACTTACCCCTCTCCATTCTGAAAATTTGCCATTTTATTCCTACCCTTTGTTCCCTGTCTTTTAACCAGTTCTCAATCCATGAAAGGATCTTCCCTCTTATCCGATGACAACTTAATTTATGTAAGAGCCTTTGGTGAGGGACCACCAAAACCACTAATTCCCCAGATCCTGAAGCTCTCGCACTGAGAAGCCACAGCCTTGTGGGTTCAAGCAGTGAAGTAGTTATTTACCCTTCCCCCAATACAAAAAAAAAACAGGGGTCACCAGGTGAAAATAATTGAGATCCGAACGTCTAATGAGGATCCCAGCACCCTGTGCCCGGCGCTGTACAGACACACAGGACGGGGCAGTCTGACTCCCGCACCCCGAGCCCTAGGGCCAGTCAGTCAGATCACTGGAGGCAGGAGTGTGTGTCTCTTATAAAGCGGAGCATGCAAATGGGGAGACAGTTTCCAGTTTAAATTTGTCCCACTCTCTGCCCAGGCTGCACCAGGAGACACAATCCGCAGCCCCCTGTGTCTGTGTAGTCACCAGCCAGTCCCCTGACAACTTTCCCCTCCAGCACCAGGAAAAATGAGACTTTTGCTTCATGTAATTTTCGCTGTAGCAGCTCTGGAAGGTATTTTCCTCCTCTGAAGAACTGGCAGAGTTAGAAGAATATTGTGTTATCGCTGTTTTATACCGATATTAATGGCCTGTCTTTATTCCCAGGTGTCCGGTCCCAGACGCTGGTGGAGTCCGGAGGGGGTCTGAAAAAGCCCGGAGACTCTCTCCGCCTCTCCTGCAAAGCCTCCGGGTTCACCTTCAGCAGCTACGGGATGAGCTGGGTCCGACAGGCTCCCGGGAAGGGACTGGAGTGGGTCTCACATTTACTCTGATGGGAGCCAACAATTTTACGCAAACTCAGTGAAAGGGCGATTCACCATCTCCAGGGATAACGCCAAGAGTGAGCTGTATCTGCAAATGACCGGCCTGAAGCCCGAGGACACCGCCCGCTATTACTGTGCGAGAGACACAGTGACACCAAACCGGTTTGTGATCGCACAAAACCCAGGCTGCGGAATCGCCCTTCTCCCGGCGGCCCGCGCGGGGGCAGCAGCGACACCCCCCGCTTCGGGGTCAGGCAGGAGACCCGGCACCCAGGGAAACGGGACACAAACCTCCCGTCAATTTTAACCCTTCTGTTCCCGGGCAATGTGTCTCCCCTTCCTGCCCAGATCCCCGCTGGTCCTGCGGTGCAGAGATCCCTCACTTCATCTGTAAAATCCAATCCCGGAGTGAGACCTGTTCTGAGTCGCTCTCCCCTCGGAGACCTGGCACGTTGGCTCTGCCGGGGCCCGTCTCGGTCTCAGACTCACAGGACAGCGTCTGTGCCTGTAAAGGGGACAAGCGCGTTGGGGGTTTGCATCAGACCAAAGTGATGGGAGAGAATTGCCC